CCTGCTTGTGGGGCTACGTGCAAATAAAGTGATGCTGCTGGGGCTGCATGCAGAGTGAGGTATTTGGGAACAGGATAGTGTGCAAGTGGGTTGTTTATGGTTAACCATCTCTTGGAACAATGGTTCTCCCCGACCTGGGACCCCCCTTCCTCGTTGTTGCTAACTTACTTATCAGGACTCCACAGTGACGGATTTGATTTTACTCTGAGGGTGGTGGAGAAGCCACTGGAAAGTTTGGAGTAAACTTTGGAATTGATCTTCTGGAGGTGGTACAGTTCCCGATAGTGACTGGTTTGAGGCTGTGAGATGGGAATGGGTGGCTATTTTGTGGTGGAGAAAATGTTAGCTGGAGGCAAGAGGCTCAAGGTCTTAGGCGAGGTATCCTCCTGAGCACAGGTTTGCTCTCCATGTGGATGTCCAAATTACTAAGAATGATAGGAGTAGAGGTGGAACGGGGGCAAGGAGGTGAGTTATTTAGTGAATGACGAGGGGAGGGAATAACTAGAGGTTAGTGGATGGCAGAAAGGAGGAGGGATAGTAGAGTCTAGCCAGTGGCAGGAATTTTCAAAAAAGCTCATGGTTTTGGAGGAGAATAAATCATCTGGAAGTGTTCATGGGGAACAAGGAGGTTTCCCACATTTTGTCCCTCAAATGTGAGGGATTTGACTTAAAATGCCTCCACCTGGCCAGGCATGGTGGCTCACACCTATAGTCCCAGCACTTTGGGAGGCTGAGGTGGGTGGATCACGAGGTCAGGAGTTTGAGACCAGCCTGGCCAACATGGTGAAACCTCGTCTCTACTAAAGATACAAAAAATTAGCCAGGTGTGGTGGCACGTGCCTGTAATTTCAGCTACTCAGGAGGCTGAGGCAGGAGAATCGCTTGAACCCAGGAGACGGAGGTTGCAGTAAGCCGAGATCTCTCCATTGTACTCCAGCCTGGGCGACAGGGCGAGACTCCATCTCAAAAAAAAAAAAAAAAAAAAAAAAAGCCTCCGCCTGAGACGATTGCAGGGCGAGGAGATCCTCAAGCAGAAGCCAAGTTATCACTAAGGAAGGAGGTGAAGTTTCTTTAGAGAGAGGTTAGGCGTGGGGTTCTCAGCCTGGGGTTATTTTTGCCGCTGCCCCAGGAGACGTTTGGCAATGTCTGGAGACATTTTTGGCTGTTACCGCTGGGGGCAAGTGGCTGTGCTACTGCCATCCAGTAGTAATGGCCAGGGATGCTGCTAAAAGCACGGGATAATTTTCCCCACTACCCCTAAACACGGAAATACCAGGCCCAGGATTTCGACAGGGTTGTGGTAGACAAACCCTTCATTAAGGATTTCGGGGTATATGCTTTCTTAGAAGTGGAGTTCCAACAGGTCATCATTCTCTCTCTTCCACACTGTTCTGGAACTCTTGATCATTTTTGGCTTGATATACACATACACATTTACCCTCAGTCACACACATGCAAGATCCTGATGCCCTTATTTTTTGTCATATACATTATCTGAGTGGTAGGAAAGAATTAGTTTTAGGGCTATTTCCAGTAATTCAGTAAGATGAATACAACAATATACTGTTCTAATAATTAATCACCTGAGAATTGAGGGATGCTGTTTCCTAGATATTTAGTTCTAGTTAGATGCAGGCAAACTGAAGTTCTGTAGGGGAAAACTTTTTTATTTCCCCTCAAAAAAATCCTGGGAGACCAAAGAATGTTCTCTAATGACCGGAAGAAATGGAGAAAATAGAGAGACCTCTTGTGTCCTGCTTTGTCACTCGAAATATCAAAGGCAGCTTTTGAGATTTGTTTTATAGACAGAAATAGGAAGAGGCATAACAATTGCATGACTAGTATCCTGATAGAATTGAACATTTATGCATTTGAAATGTAGTTATTGTAACTGAAGTATAGACTTGGCCTGGTTTTGCAAAGCCCGGAGCTAAGAATGGTTTTTACATGTTCAAAGTTGCTCAAAACAAAATTAAACCAGTGAAAAATATGCGACAGAGACCTTACGTGGCTCATAAAGCCTAAAATACTTACTATGTGGCCCTTTACGTAAAAAGTTTGATGGTATAGACTGATAAATCATTTCCAATTCTGGCTATATGAATGAATCTGTCATAGCATTGTGTTTATTCAGAAATCCTGAAAATATTTATTGATGCTTTTTATGTGCAAGTGGCCAAGTTTGCAAGATAGATGCTGGTCATCAGCAAGTTTGCATTTCAGTGAGGAAGGTCAGCTTTAAGCAAATGATTGCATAACCAATTAGATAAAATAATTAATTACACAAAGAAATTATGAAGGGTTCCAAAAGAGCATGGAAGGGGATTACTGAAGACTTTTCTGGATAACAGTTGATCGAAATTTGAAGAAAGAATCTGCTGATTAGAAGGAGGAGCAATTGTGACCCCAGAAGGGACCCTAGAGATTTTCCATTTCCTCTGATGAAAGTTTATGAACGCAAAACAAGCTACAGAAATGTTTGAAATTTAAAGAGCTAGGCCAGGCACGGTATTTCACGCCTGTAATCCCAGCAATTTGGGAGGTGAGGTAGGTGGATCATTTGAGGTCAGGAGTTCAAGACCAGCCTGACCAACATGGATCCTGGCTAAGCATGGTGAAACCCGTCTCTACTAAAATCAAAAAAAAAACAAAAAAAAAAATTAGCCGGCGTGGTGGCTGGTGCCTGTAGTCCCAGCTACTGCGGAGGCTGAGGCAAGAAAATCACTTGAACCCGGGAGGCGAGCCTTGCAGTGAGCCGAGAATCGTGCCACTGCACTCCAGACTGCTGACAGCAGGCGAGACTCTGTCTCCAAATAAATAAATAAATAAATAAATAAATAAGACACTGCTGAGGATCCTAGGGGCCTGGGTCCCACCTAGCCACAGGTTCTCAATCTTGGCCTGAAACTGAGGATCACCTGGGAGAACAGAATTGGCTGGAGCAGGGCTCAGGCATCAGTTTTCTACGGGTCGTCAGTTGGTTCTTGTTAGCGAGAGTGCAGAGTCATAGCTATAGGCCTTAATTTATTTTCTGACACTTTTTTTTTTAGATAGACTTCTCGCTCCTGGTCAAC